TTGAAAAAGACAAATATAAGATATTTATTATCAAAACTGATTAGGGTGATGTTAACTTCATACAAGTTATTCCTTGTTATATTAATGGTTTTTTTTTGAAACTTACTTGTACCAGTATAAAAAAGTTGAGTTTTTTTTTTTTTTTGTGAATCAAGAATTAATATCGTTTCGTCCATTTCATTAGATTACTATCAAAAATCATCAGAAATAAGATATGCTAATGGAACATATGAAATTAATTATAGTTATCAAAATAGAATTGGTGTTGAACAGAGCATTCAATTCAAAAATTTGCCAGTATGGATTATGTTAAAGGGATATATAATCTTGGATATTTCTACAACAATAGAATTGGAGTTAAAAAGTATGAACATAAGGTGGGATCTTTGCTATGAAAATGCTCTTCTGGGGCTATGTTGATTTTGTGAATAAAAATTAAATTTGCCAACCATCTAGTTATCCAATTCAAATGATCTTTTTTTTATTTTGTAGAGCTTATTTAGCTCCACAAAATAAAAAAAAAATTTATTCAAATTGGATAACTAGATGGTTGGAAATTTACAAAATCAACATTGCTTCGAAGAAGCATTTTTATAGCAAAAATTCTAGATATTTATTTATTATCAAAAAACTGATTAGGTTAATATTAGCTTCAGGCAAGTTATTTTTGTTAATATAAGCTGGTTTTTCTTGAAGCTCACTCGTACTAGTATAAAATTATATTTTTTTTTTGTAAATCAAGAATTAATATCATTTCGTCTATTTTGTTATATTAGCTTTCAAATATTATCAAAAATCATCAAAAATAGGATATGCTGATAGAATATATGAAATTAGATATAGTTATCAAAATAGAATTGGTGTTAAACAGAGCATTTATTTAATTCAAAAATCTGCCGGTATGGGATATGTTAAAGGGGTATGTAAGCTTGGATATTTCTATCACAACAGAATTAGTATTGAAAAGAACAAACATAAGGTATTTATTATCAAAACTGATTAGGGCAATGTTACCTTCAGACAAGTTATTCTTGTTATATTAATGGGTTTTTTGAAGCTTACTCGCACCAGTTTGAAAAAGTTGTGCTTTTTTTTTTGTGAATCAAGAATTAATATCGTTTCATCAATTTCATTAGATTAGCCTTCGAATACTATCAAAAATCATCAGAAATAGAATATATTAATGAAATATATGAAATTAGATATAGTTATCAAAATAGAATTGGTATTGAACAGAGTATTTATTCAATTCAAAAATCTGCTGGTATAGGATATGTTAAAGAGGTATGTAAGCTTAGATATTTCTATCACAACAGAATTGGTATTAAAAAGGACGAACATAAGGTATTTATTATCAAAACTGATTAGGGCGATATTAACTTCAGACAAGTTATTCTTGTTATATTAATGGTTTTTTGAAGCTTACTTGTACTAGTTTGAAAAAGTTGTACTTTTTTTTTTTTGTAAATTAAGAATTAATATCATTTCGGCAATTTTATTAGATTAGCCTTTGAATATTATCAAAAATCATCAGAAATAGGATACACTGATGGAATATATAAAATTAGATATAGTTATTAAAATGGAATTGATATTGAACAGAGCATTTATTCAATTCAAAAATTTGCTGGTATAGATTATATTAAAGAAATATATAAGCTTGGATATTTCTATCACAACAGAATTAAAGTTAAAAAAGATGAACAACAGTTTATTTAGTTTGTCTAGTCTCTAATAAGACCAGTATCTGTTTTTATTATATCTGTTTTTATAAATTCTGAAACATCTGACAAAAAGCTGAACTAATTGAATATTTATCGATTCGATAGGTTCTGATTCGGTAGCAATCATTACTGAAATCATAAACTTATCGAATTAGCAAATATTTACAATTTTTTGCCAGATGTTTCAGGCTTTTTTCAATTAAAGACTTAAGATATTTTATATCATACAAGTTTAGTAGACGTTGTTTTCTTACAAGTGGTATCTTTAAAATTGTTTAAAAACTTGACTTATTGAGATCTGCTAACACTTAAGTGTTTAGCAATTGTTCGAATTGATAACTGTTCTAAAGTTTTTTTAACTATTTTCTAGCGTGTATGCTTTAAGAATATCATATTTTATTAGTATCGATATTGGTCATTTGGTTATTATTGATTAAAGTTATCACTATCACACCATAAATAGAGGCCATTTAAAGCCTTGTAGTATTTATATATTTTGCGTGAGTTTTACTTTACTAATCAATTTAAAAATTTTCTATAAATAATAAACATTATAATAATCATGCTGAAATCAATAACTTATCGAATTATAATATTTTAACATACTATATAAATTAATATACTATTAAAATATCATAGTTTATTATATATTTTAAAATATTATGATACTAAAAATTTAAAATGAGTACACATGATGCTAATATAATATAAGTGAAGCAAAATTAAGATTTTGTTTAATCACATTAAATCACGTATCCCTGAGTAAAGGGAGGTAGGGTCCAAATTCTGCCTGCTTTACAATTTGATTTATGTGAATTATGCTATCAATTTTTTAGAATTATGCTGCAAATTATACAAATCAGGCAGAAATATGCGAAATATGCAATTATTAGAGTTGTAATTTAATAATTTAGTAACTTAAAAAATCCTAACAATCATGCTTGTATAACAAAAAAGTTATAGCAAATCGACTAATCAGCAAAGTTGTGAGATTCACGAGGATTCAAAGAATATATTATAAGGTGAAGCAAAACATTGATTCATCCGTTAAATTTATTCTTGTTTTATAGAAAGTTTTGCTATCTAAGCTTTTAAAAGAGATATTTGAATGGTTGCTATTTGCTCATATTTTGTGTTCATGTTTGTTAACTGTCTATTATTCTAAAATGTTTTGTGCTCTATATATCATTAATTTTATATGCTCTATTAATTATGCTAAATTGGTTAAAATATGCGAATATGTTATTGTATATACTTCTGTGATAAAATTAGATTTATGTGCAGATTGTACTATCGCAAATTCATGTTATCCCTAAAGAGAAGTAATACTATGTATCAACACTCATGATCTTTATATTGTTTATGATATTTATTTAAAACCACCTATACAGCCCTTATTCTAAATTTGTATATCTATATTTATATCATACAAAGAAACAAAAATCATAGTGCAGTAAAATCATATATTAAAGGTATAAATATTTATAGCCTGTCTCTTGAAATAATAAGTATATATAAATCTAATTTTTATCTCAAAATTTTCAAATCTACTTATTCTACATTAGTCAAGCAAAAAATTTTATTTCTAAATACTATTGAAGCAATAGGGCCTCTGACTATATATACTATATTTTAAAAATCATATGACGCAAGAATTCACATTAAATGGCCTAGAATCCATATACTCCCTTCCTTAAAAGCATGTTATATATTTCATTTATTTTTTTTTTGTATATTTATTTTTTTTTTTCTTGAGGGTGTAATCATTTGCTATCATTGTCAATGTAGTAAAGAGAGGAAGACCCAATGAGCTTCTCGTGGTTTAGTCTACTAAGCTACAAAATAAGAAATAGCATTGAATATATCCACCTCACTCTTTTATTATTATGAAAAAAAAATTATTTTCTGGTTATCAGTTGCGTTTTTTTATTTTATTTCAGATAAGTATAATTTTGTTGTTGCTTTAGATTTTAAATATCTTTACTAAAGCAAGTTTTTCTTCTAGATATTTTTAAGAATGTTCTTTGCCTTTTGCTATATTTGCTTCTTTCTTGAACTAACTCATATTTATTTAACTGGCTCTTTAGCATTTTCAGGAAAGTATTAACCTTGTTTGTGTTTTGGTTTTGAATGTATTTATTAACATTTTTTTTCATCTTTGTTTAATATTAACAACTTTAAAAACAGTTATTTTTTTTAAAAATGATTTATCCACAAATGATCTATATATAGCATAAATTGTATTCTTGATATCTATTTATAAAACTTATTAGCTACTTGATACAAGTATTGGAGCAGCATTTTGTCTTGAATCGAACATGAAGTCTAATTAATTAGTCAAATAATTATTGTGTTATCAGGATTTATTGCTTGTAAAATCTGTAGTATTTTTAATTAATAATTGTGAAGTTTATCAGTATAATTAATTGCAGAATTTTTTTGATCTAGTTAGTTATAGTAGTGACATAATTATGTCATTAGGGTTTTTAGAGTAATTATATAGTTTTTTGATTTGTAATCATTAGGGCATACTTAAAGAGAATGGTTTTTTCCCAAACAAGTTAATTTCTGTTTTTTTCTGCTAATCCAACTTTGTCTGGTTTTTTATCCTACTCTTTTCCACCTCTCGTAGGGTGGTCTAACAAATATATAGGATATGATATTTGGAACTTTTAGTATATTTGATGTTGGAACGATAGTAACATGGAATATTAACGTTTTTGTAAGAATTATTCTCGAGTAGATATTATTGTATAATAGGGCATAATGAGCAAATAGCTATTGCTTAGTAGATTTTGGTTTTTAGTAGGTGGTCTGTTGGGATGACAGTTATCGAGATTTATCATTTTGTTCAGTTTGTGTTCAGATTTGGCCTGTCAAACGACAGTCAAATCTTGAGTTTTTTAGTAAGTGGTCTGGTGGGACAACAGTCACAAAGATTTTATTGGTTTATTTATTTCGAGTTTGGTCTGTTAGACAATAGTCAAATCCAAGTTTAGTAAATAGTTACAAAAATTGTATGTAGTATTATGCTCAGGTAGGTATTGTTAGTAATTAGAGTGTAACAAATAGAAAAGAGAACAAAACTTCGAAATGCGATAGTTAAGAACTTGGTTTACAATTAATAAATTTATAGCATATTTATCAATGCTTTCGAATTCTGCATTATGGTGGGACTATTTGTACAAAAAAGCAAAGGCAGAATACCCTTTCATTGTATTGTATTTTATTAAAATTCATTGCTTTACAACCTCTTTGATGTAGAACAAAATCTAATTACATCAAAAGATAACCTTCACTCCACTTTAACTGACCGGTAAAAAAAACTCATAGTTACAGACCCAATCAGTATTTAAACCATTTTTATAAGATACTCTGCTACTATAAAGCATTGTATTCAGTATCTGAAATACAAATTTCTTAGTGTAATAAAAATGGTATCACATAAAATTTTTTTAAATAATATTACTTACACATCAGACATCTACAGAATGTATTAGGCAATGTTAAGTTAATTTTTTGGTTCTCAAAACTTAAAATTTTTGAGTGACAAGCAACCCAGCTTTTAATTTTATTTTCAAAAAATTTTATATATATAAAAAGTATAAAATTTTTTAGAAAAACCTACTCGAATAGTAAATATACTTAAAAAAATTTTTTTAAAGGTTTGTAAAATTTAACTTGGCTTGGCCTTATATATATTAGATTTACTATTGCAGTATTTATATTAGTATAACAGAATATTACTTTAATATAGTAAATTTTATAAGTAGAAGCATCTATTAATAGGTATTACTGCTATATATTCAATATTTTGTTTATCTATAAAAAGTTGAAAAGGTATAAAATAGCTATAAATATTATGAATTGATATAATAGAATCTCTACCAATTGAATAAAATTTTTTTTTCCATAATTTTATATTACAACACCTTAAATCATTATCAATTTGGTAATGAAATCAGGTTTTATGATTTTGAGCTGGCAAAAACCACTTAACATATGCTAAATAGTGTACATATTTTTCATCATTTAAAGATATTTTATGCTTAAAATAAAATTGGACCTGTCCAGGAAACAATTTGATAACTTCATTATCTTGAATAAATTTTGCTAAAATATACGAACTTTTTTAATATGTTGGTGCTATACTTGACTCAAATATTTCAGATTTAATCCGAATATGTCCAAATTGATTTATATGTGGATGAACAGTTGGTCCGATTTCACTAATAGAAACAAAATTTGATTTATAATAATTATTGTAATAATCGATTAATAAATTGTAAATATCATCAGGCAAGGCTACTTGTATTTTCTTTAGTCTCATCATTTCACCAGAAAAATTCTCAGTACCAGTATTTAATTCACACTCTAAGTTATACATAATTAAAAATTGATGCAATTCAGCAGCTTCAAAATTATCATTCATTGCCAAACTTCCAACAGTAGAATGTGGAATAAGTAATTAAAGTGCTGTTAATAATTCACTACGATTTGAATTATTAATTAGATATTCTAACTGCCAGGTTTGCATTATGGTTTTTAGTAGCTCTGCTTCTATCTAATGCTTACTATTTTTATATGAACCTATAACTTCATTCATTCTTTCAAATGAATAACACTAATATGAATACAAAAAACTATAATCTATACAACATTCAATAATATGAAGTGATAAATGAATATTAGGTGTTATCACTTCTGGTTTATAATTTTCTTCAATTAGTTGGGCAACTGTTCACAATCAATAATTTGCCTCATTTAATATATTTTTATTAATAATGCGTGATACAAGCAAAGTACAAGCCCTAACGAAATTGGCTAAAATTTTTCGATCAGGACCTTTTAGAAGATCTCATATTATCGGTATTGCATAATATAAGATAAAAAACTTCTACTGATCTGCAGTATATCCAAAAAACCTATCCCTGATGGCAATTTTATAAGATATTCTTCATAAATCAGTAGGTAATTGTAATTTATTTGCTCGATCAGCTATTATTTGAAATCTGATTTAGAAATTTTTTCTTTATCGATCCAAAGCTTCTTAATAATCCACTGTGTAATCCTAAGGAATAGACAATATATAGGATCAACAACCAAATATCTAATTGGATTATGATACAGCAACCGAAGAAGTTCTGTCCATCTAACATATATATTAGAAACATGTTTTTTTCTTTGTTCCTCTGTTATACATTGAAACCATGATTGAGTATTTGTTATATGTTCATGCAAATCACGTGATTCAGCATGATTTTTTGGTTCTTCATAATCGTATTCTTTATCTTTACCTTTATCTTTATTATTTATTGTTTTATTTTTTTTAGATA